TAATTATTATTCTTGCTGGGTTTCTCTAGCCATTTCACAGTACAGTCATGGTGTTGCATTTGATCCTCAGGTACCAGATACCCATAAACTCCCAAAGGTAGACACAGTCATAGTCCTAGCCACACACACACTACATTTTCAATCTCCCATGAGGGAGCCACTCTCCTAAGCAAACAGTGTTGGATTACTGAATTCCAGCACAAAGGCTTGTGAGATACTGTTATTTATGAAAAAAAGATAAAGACGTCAATCATTTTGTGTTATTCCAGACAAGAGCACTGTCCAACATCACCAGTGCAGTCAAGTGCAAGTCATCAAATGTCAGACAAACGCACTTTGCATGAACAGTTTCCAAAAGCAACAAAGAAGGTAGACAGTTTTCATAATAATTACTTCTGTTTTAACAATACTTTGCAAAGGGAATCTATAACATTATAAACCCATCTTGGCCATAATGGTTGAATGTTAGTTAGTGTTTTGAACTAACCATTTTAACATGCCGGTAGTTATACATGCATTGTAAAATTAGATAAATACTTTGCACAAATTAAGCTTGACTGTCTAAGTGTGCCTGTTTTAACTCAACATTTTGAGCATTATTTTTTACTTTGTAGTGGAGTCGCACAGTCATGTGGTTTTGTTTCACTAATTTGATTATTAACAGTAGTTCAAAATGTTACCTTATAATAAATTTTTCATTAGTTAGCTTTTGTTTACATATTGATGGCACAACTGTAAAATAATGGTAGATAGTGCTGAAGAGTAGCATGATGTCAGCCTTTAGAAGTCTTATTGTCTTGGAACCAGCTTTTGTAGCCTCCAAACAAACCCATTCATGTAGTGATTCAGAAGACTGGGAAGGGGTACATGACTTCTCAATTTAAAGGATGTTGTTCTGTTGTACTGAATTGACGAATCACGTTAATGAGATTTTGATTTTTGTGTGCTTCCTATTCATAAACAACTTAAGAAACAAATGTGCAATTAAATAATTCCTTTTTATTTTTACATCAGGATGATAAGGAATGGCAGTTTTCAACTGAATTCCTGCTGTCTGTGACTGTGTTCATGGTTATGGTTGGCTTGGCCTCATTGAGATGACTAAATGACCTGGACAAATAAACCACTCCATGGCTAGAGGCTCATTCCTGAAGAAGATTCAAGTTCAACATGCCCTACCTAAAGAGAATGGAGCTCTAGACCTTTTAAGTTAAAAGTGCTCTTGGCATGAAGTAAGAGGAGAGGACTGCTGTAATATTTATGAGGAAAGCTAGAAGGAAAAAAAAAAAAATTGTTGGACTATAAATGTACAACATCCAGTCTCACATTCAGTCTTTTTACAGGCTTCTTAGGGGAATTGTGGGCAATATTGTATTGTTTGCAGTGGAGAGCATCATCAATTGATAACATCATTGTGTAGTTCCAGAAAATGTCCATACCTTCCCCACAGAAGGGAATTTTTCCTAAGTCCCCCCACCCCTCTGGAAATTCCAATTGAGCTTCATACATTTCTTTAAATTTTTTGGTCTTACAGAACCCCCCACCCCCCAGGAAATTCCAAT